CCCTCTCCCCCCTCCTCCCCAAGCCTCCTTCCTGCAGGCACGGGTGGCCCTCCCCCCGGGGGGGTGAGAAGGAACGCCGCCCATGGTCTGGGTGGCTCCGGAGGGTCTCTGGGGCCTGGAGAATGTCGAGTGGGGCAGGGCTTGGTCTGGGGTGGCCAGTGGCCACACACATCCGGGACAGGGCTGGGGCCTTCTGTCCTGCCCCCCAGCTGATGCCTGCCCGCTGGGGCTGAGGTGGGCGTGCGGCAGGCACTGGGGCAGAAAATGTTCACAGGCTCGGGCAAAGGACAGAAGCAGCCAGGCAGAGGGGAGGGGAGGGCTCTCCGCAGAGGCTCCCTCGTGGCGGTTGGAGCCCAGGTGCCGGCCCGGGGTGGATACTGGGGCTGCTGACTGCCCCACCTGGGAAAACATCCCCACTCGGGCCAGAAGGGGATACTGGCTGCCGCACCGGCGGTCCTGGGGAAGAGGAACGAACCTTGGGGTGGGGAAGCAGGGAGGGCCCGCAATGGTCTGGGTGCTCCCCGACTGACTGAGAAGAGAATCGTGACTCAGAGAGTATCTCGGTGTTCATGAAACAGGTCCAGAGAGGGAGACATGCGTGCCCAAAGCCACACAGTGAGTTAGGAGCCAGCTGCAATATACCCATTCACTGTTCATCCGTTTGCTCACACCCCGGCACTGCCAGCACACTTCCTAGGGGTCTGGCCTGGGCTACCCCAGAGGGGAGGTAGTCTCCCAAGGGCAGGAGCCTGGACTTCTGGGACAGGAATGGGGCAGCTGCAGCCCTCGAACCTGCCACAGTCCAGCCCGGTGCCAGGCTCCGGCTGCCTGGCCTTCAGAGCCACCTGCCTCCTTCCCGCCTCGAGGCCCTTGCATCTGCTAGTCCTCAGGCCTGGGACTCCTCCCGCCGGTCTCTGAGCGGCCGCCTCCCCGGCTCTCCGGCTCGCGGGTGCCACTTCCACGTAGCGCCCTCACCCCAGCATCGCCGCCTTTTTGTTCGGTCACTTTCCCTCTCGTTTCGCCTCTGCTTTCCTTTGTGTAACAGAAACTCCAGGGGGGCAGGATGCAGCCCCTCCAGCAGTGCCTGGCACACAGCAGGGGCTCAGCAGAGCATGGCCAATCGCCTTGGAAAGAAAGGTTCAAGGACTCCTTTTCACAGGACTCCTGAGCACTGTGGTCCGGAAGCCTCTTTTTTGGGTGGGAAAATGGAGGCTGCCAGAGAGCCTGAAGGCGCAGTGCTCTCTTACCTCATCATGGTCCTGGGTCTCAGCGGTATCCCAGTCAGCTCCTCCTCAGATGTTTGGTCCCATTGTAGAGACGGGCACCCCGAGACCCAGAGAAGCCACTATGATCCCAGGACATGGGCAGAGGGCGATCTGGACCCAGGTGGGGCCAAATCTAGCTGTGCCCTCCCAAGGAGGCAGCCGGGCTGGTGGCAGCATGGGACCTCTGAGCAGCCACTGGCCCTGGAAGCCCCAGCTGGAAAGGGCAGCTTGCTGAAGGTGCCAGGCCCCAGAGCCCAGGCCTTCGGGAGGCCCCAGCCCTGCACTACCTGCAGCCCGACCAGCTGCTCCAGAAGCTGCTTCCAGCTCCCGGAATCCAAGCTCCTCTGGGCAGCGGTCCCGGCACTGGGCATCCAGGAAGGCAGCGGGGGCTGGCCTCTCCCCAGAGTTATTTGCTCTGTCCCTGCCCTGGAAGCCCCAGCTGGAAAGGGCAGCTTGCTGAAGGTGCCAGGCCCCAGAGCCCAGGCCTTCGGGAGGCCCCAGCCCTGCACTACCTACAGCCCGACCAGCTGCTCCAGAAGCCGCTTCCAGCTCCCGGAATCCAGGCTCCTCTGGGCAGCGGTCCCGGCACTGGGCATCCAGGAAGGCAGCGGGGGCTGGCCTCTCCCCAGAGTTACTTGCTCTGTCCCTGCAGATACACTCCCTCTGGACGATGCTTCCAGGGCGCAGCCAGGGAGAGCCCTGGGCCCAGCTGAGCAATGGAGGCTGCACTGTGACTCCATGGCCTGTTCCTTTCAGGCACTCTCCCCAGGACACCCTCCTTTCAGGGCTCCCAGGAGGTGGGGCCAGAGCGAGTCAGCTCTGAAGCTGCAACACTGTGTCCTCACGGGCCACGCCTGGCACTGGGCGGGGTGGGTCGGGCACCGCCGTCCTTCCCTCCCCATCTCCCTCTTTCCCGGGATGAAGTAGCCACGGCTCTTGTGGGGTACCAGGTGGTCCCCAAGGGACACCAGGTGGTCTCTGCCGCAGCCGGCTGCAGCAAGAGGCCAGGCTGCGGCCTGCCCACAACACCTGTCACGCTTCTGGGTAGAGAGATTCCTACCCTGCTTACTGGGAGAAAAGCGAGGGTGGGAAGTGACCCACTTCCCCCCGGCTGCTCCCTTCATTCCAGGGACCTCAGATAAAGTTGGGGGCTGCAGGTCCGGGTAGGCTGAGGAGGGAGGGAGGGGAGGCCAGGGCAGGCCCCGTCCAATTCCGCACATTCCGTCCCGGAAAGCAGCCTCCAGGACGCCTTGCTCCGGGGCCCTCCCCGCCGCCTGCTGACCTGGTGGATTTCTGGGCTCCATGCCCTGCTCCTAGGTGGGAAGCTCCGATAGAGGCTCCTGCAGGCTTGAACAGGCTGCATCTTCCCCACGGTGACGACAACTGTGTGGCTGGACAGCAGCCACATGCCACCTCCCAGCCTCTCCTTGAAGCCCTCGTGGCTCAGGCCCCCTCCTGCTGGGCCATAGAAACCCCAGGCCCCAATGCAGCCTGGGGCCATGAGTGTTCTGGGAGGCCCCGAGGATGGCAGCCCACCTGCTCTTCCATCCTTACTCCCTCGGTGCTCCTCCTCTACCTATCGACGGGTGCCCAACGCTGGCCCCAGGCCGGGCTCAGCCCTCCCTGACTGCCAAGGGCAGGGCAGACGTGAGGCTGTGCCCTGGAGGCACGAGGACAGCAACGGACATCATCACAGAGAACGAGAGCTGGAGACTGCCTGCAGTCAGATGAGCCCTGAAATTCTGGGACATTTAGGCGCTCCAGGAAGCTGACTCTGCCTCTTGGTGTCCTGTGACTCTGGCTGGGCCAACCAGCACCCTCGGTCCCTCAGCCACAGGGATTGGTTCAGGACGGTCATGTGACTCAAGGTGGCTGCCCCGCTGGCTGGTGGCACGAGGGAGCCGTGGCTGCCAACACTGGTGGCCATCTTGGAGCCAAGATCTTCTCAGGGAGTCCCAAACAGGTGGGAGAAAATCAGATCTCTGACTTCATCTAGAGTAGTTATGTTGAGACAGAGCAGGGGAATCCACCTGACAGCCTACCCCACTGACATTCTTCTCCACATCCTGCACACCCAGCTCAGCCAGCAAAGAACGTAAGACAGGCAACATTTCACTCTGTTTTGCCCTAACTCTTACCCAAAGCTGCTGATCCCTACACCTGCATGCACTCAAGACCAGGAGAAGGACGGATCATAGCGCCTTACATCACGTGAGCATGCTAAAATCCTTGTTGAGGGAGGAGCTTATGGGACACTCTGTGATAATGTGACGTTTGGAGAGGCATGATTGACAGCTGTGGCTCTCCCCCACCCCCATCCTGAGCACCCTCCCTCCTGTGCAGTCCCCTCATGCGGAGCACAAGCCTCAGGGAAGCCTTGCCCAGAAAACCGCCTAGCCTCATATCCATTTCCATTGCTTGGGAGCCTAAGAACCCACGGTCAGTAACACCGTAAGTATATTTCACACGAAGCCAGATTTTCCGCTAACTGCTATCCTGCCCCACCCAGCAGCCCCC